ATTAGCCACTTTGCTTCAGTCTTTAGTCTTCCTATATGCTATTTTGTATGTGTTCTGCTTTTCAAAAAAAAAAAATTTATTTTGAGTTTCCTAGAAAGATACCACTGTACAAAGAAAGAACACTTTAAGTCAGAGCCTTAAAGTTATTGCCCCAGAGTAATAGAGCTGATATCATGGCTTGTCCTCAGTTTTCTAGTTTGTGAAATGGGGATGGTAATATCTACCTCATAGTTACTGAGAGAATTCAGGGAGTGAAAATAAAAAGGGTTTGGACCAGAGGATTGGATGGTGTTGGTGGACAGTGGTGAGAAAATGGTCAGTTTGTACTGAAGGAACTCACAGCCTCCTGCACTTCCCAAAAAGAAGTCACATAAACATCTGGATCAGAGAGTTAGTGAATGTCTCAGTCATCAGTTCCTCTACTGAATACTCCTCAGAGTCTGGAGATAATTCCATAGAGTGAGTTTAATCTCTCTGTGTGCATTTTAGTCTTTTTCCTGTTTCTTGATAAAGATAGACAAACATCATTCAAATCTTAGGCAACCTTTGGTCACAACTCTTGGTCATTCTTGAGGATTGTTATTGGATTACTTCTCCATGAGCTCTTCTTAATAATTAATTTAACTTTTCTTAACATCCCTCCTGGTGATCATCTTCTAAACATCCACATGAGTCTGCTTTTCTGTCTCCCACGGTAGTGTTCCTTCCAGGCTGGGGAGCAGTTGCTGGGTAACAGGTCAAGTATATTAATAGGCAGGCCATATGGTTCACAGACATTTTGCTCTCAACAACTTGATAAAATTTCTGGTGGTATGATTTTTGTTTTTAATTTTAACTATGAAAGTGTAAGAACCATCTGCTGTTATTCTTTGTATGTGATCCTGGTAGGTTATTAATTTTAGTTACACTGCTCGTATGCAATTAGCACTGGTCTACGTGGACACTTCATAGCAATGCTGGCATACTTTATTTTCATTAGTAGAGGATGCTGGGTATGGGTGTCTCATCCAGAGTCCCTTTATAAGGTCTTGGGAGTTATATGGCTTCTCTTTTAGCTGGTTAAATGCTTTAATTGTAGTGGTCCATTTGGTTGGCTGAGAATATATAACATATAATTGTTACAGAGCAAATCAAATAGTCATGTAATAGTGATGCCAGGGTGGGGGTGGGTCTTCTTTAGTTAAGATCATGGAAACCCTTGAAGGAGGAGAAATTTGAGATCTGAAGGATGGTATGGAGATAAGCCAAATGAAGAGCTGTGGTGAGCCAAATGGAGATGAGAAGTCATAGAATTCCAAAAGGAAGGAAGGGTTAAGAGCAAAGGTCCTGAGCAGGAAACAAACATGGTATGGGAGGAAGTCCAGTGTGCCACACTGTCTTGAGAGGAGGTGAATGCAGAGAGCTAAGGGCAAAGAGTGTCCAGACTAAGTATAATAGGAGCCATTGGAGGGTTTTAGGTGAGGAGATGATATCATCTGATTAATTGTTTTAGAATGCTCACTCTGGCTGCTAAGTGAAATGGATTGAATGGTGGCAGGGAGACATGTTGGGAGGCTCTTGCTATTGTACAGAATAGATTGATGGAGAAATGCTGACTGAAGTTGTGTGATATAGCTAGCAAGAAGGGATAGGTATTGGGATACCTTGTGAATATGGAATCTATGGTGCATACTGAGTGATTCCTTTTGTGTGTGTGTGTGTGTATTGGGGTGGATACTGGGGTTGAACCCAGGAATGCTCTACCATGGAGCTACATCCCTAGTCCTTTTTTCAAATTTTCATATAGAGTCTTACTAAGTTGCCCAGGCTGGCCTAGAATCTATGATAGTCCTGCTTCTGCCTCCCAAGTAGCTGGGATACAGGTAGGCACCATCAACCTGATTGTGCTGCATGATGCTGAGTATCTAGGTGATTGGTGTTACAGTTCTCATTCAGATGTGGAGGGCTTGATGGTTCTCTTTGGGGATGGCTAATGAATATCCAAGTGGAAATATCTAGTAGGCATATTAACCTAAATGTTAGATGAGAGCTGAAGGCTGACTATCTTTTATTTTTGGTTCCCTATACTGGAGTTTGAACCCAGGGGTGCTTTATCACTGAGGTACATCCCCAGACCTTTTTTTTTAAATGTTTGAATTTTGCGATAAAGTCTAATAATGTTGCCCAGGCTGGCCTTCAACTTATAATCCTCCTGCCTTGGCCTCCCCAGTTGCTGAGTTTACAGGTATGTGTCAATGTCCTGGTTGAAATATTTGCTTCAGTTACATGAAGGTCAAGGGTGTCAGCAGAGAAAAGGCTTGGGACTGAATATATCATCATTTAGAAACCTGAAAGATACCAGCAAAGAACCCTGATGAAGGTAGCCAGAGAGGTTGGAGAGGACCATGTGCTGAGCAGACACCTGAAAAGGAAGATGTCTCCTGAGCATGGCAAATGGTAGCCTCATCATCCATTGCTGCTCTCCAGTTCCTATACAGCAGTGTAATTTGAAAAGTTTCTTGTGTAGCTGTGAATTCACGAGGACAAGGGCAAGCTGGGTCCAGTGTCTCCCTACAGAATGTTCAGCTACTCTGGTACTGGAAATGGAGACTCTTGTCTCCTTGGGGAAACAAAGAGGAACTAGTATGTGTGTGGCTTTTTATTTTTTTTAAATGGCAATTGTGTATACAGCTGGTACAAGTTAGTTCTCTGAAAATATTCAGTAACTAAATTCTAATCAATCTCTTCTAAGACTTGCAGTGCATGAAAAGACACATAAAAATGTTTACATTGTCCCTACTTGTGATGTTAATCCTGACAAGAGAGGTCTCATAACAAATCATTTTCTAAATCTTATCTTTTCTTAGCATCAATTCAGTCATCATGACTTGAAGTCAGTCTCTGCTGAGAGTTAACTTTAGGTCATGGAAAAGCATTGTATTATCTGTTGGTCACTTGATAAAAGATATTGCTTAAAGGAGAAACAACAAATTCTGTTCTGTCTTTGTTAAAGTCAAAGTATAATGTATTCCAATAAGCACCTTAAGTTAAAGGGCAAAATTGGGGTCCTTTTTGTACCATATATGTTTTAATAGGTAATTTTTCCTGCTGTATTAAGTACATTTTTTCCCTAAAACTCCAAGTAGGATTGTGCTGTAAACAAGATGGTTTATTTTGATGATTCTCATTAAGTTCAGAGAAATAGTGGATTGGTTTAAAATTAAGCAAAGCTACCTTTTTCCTCCCAGAAGATTCAATGATTGACGAATACTTAGGCAAACTGTAATTTTTTATTCTTACCCTTTGCCCTACTGACATTTAGTTGAATTTTACAAATATAAAACTAGTAAGGATGTAGCGGACTGAGAGTTAGCAATAGATTGTGGTGAGGAATATTTTTGGGTTATTCAATCAAAACTTGGTTCAGTGACCAAAGGGAACAGAGCTGGGAATAAAACATCAGAAAATGATCCCTTTCCATAATTTTGCAGAAAGACTCTGGTTCTGCCACTGAGCATGAAAACAAAATTTTACGGTACTGGAAGATTCTGCATTTTCCTAAGACCAAATAAAAGAAGCTTGTTTCCTGGGTTGGCTCAGTCCTGTTTTCCAAGACTAGAGCTGAAGCACAGGGATTTTGCCTGCAGTCAGCTCTTCCCATAGTGATAAGTGAGGAAACCCGTAAGATAGTCTGACAGCTCTGTCCTTTGTGAGAAGGTTATAGGATGTAACAAGCCTTGTACTTGGATCCCTCGAGAGCAGTTATCTTCTCAGGAGTCAGACTGTCCTTGGGTGGTTCTCAGTGTCCGGGGCACTCGTAGTAGGTATTGCTGGGAATGAAGGAGGCTCTTGGTTTCCCTGTCTTCTATCTCGCCAATGTTACTGTTTGTGGTGAAAGGTGAAGGCCCTCCTGGGTGAATTGGGCTTGGGGAAGGGCAGGGAAGGGTTACCGCTTGCCTGGGCAGTATTGGTGGAAAAGAGGTACTGTTTGGACCTGTCGCACCCAGCACCTTTCCCTAGTGCCTTTTACCAGTACTTAGCACTGTGCCTGGCACAGAAGTGCTCAATGACTCCTTATTGAACCTTGAGTTACTGGGCGTCAGTGCTTGTGTAGTGCTATGCTATGGCTTCTTTCTTTCCCCTCTCCTGGTTATCTCCTTGAGTTGCACATGGTGCAGTATCAAACCAGATGTCAAACCCCATATGGGGGAAATCTCTTGTTTTACTGGAGAGAAGGGCTGGGCCCCATTTGTCTGAGAAGCCTCAGCCTGGCTAAGGCATCACTTTTGCATATAAAACACTTGTATTCTTTGGGATAAAAAAAACTACTGAGAGCAACTCTGAAATCTGATCATGTTGTCTTCCCATTAAAAAAAAACCCCAAGCATATGACCTTGGCTTGCAGTACCCTGAGTGAACTGGTGGCTCCTGATTTCCTTGCCAACCTCCTCTGTACCATACCTCAGTTTCTTGGACTCACCAATCCTTTTGCTGTCTACTAGGTTCTTCCACAGATCTTCCCAAGTATCTTTGTGATCCTTTCAAGATCCCCTTAACTGAGACCACCTCAGCAAGGCCTTCCTTGACATGCCCTCATCTGGCTCCATCATTTTGTACCTAGGCATTTATGTTCTCCTGTTTGCCTTCTCGCTTATTAGTTATCTGCCATACTTAGCTAAACAATTCACAAGGGCAAGACTGTTTCCTAGTTGTTCAGTATTTAGTTCAGTGTAAGCTCTTGATAAATCTATATTCAAATAAGTGTCAGCCTACCTTTCATCAAAAAAATGTTTCACTTTTAAGAACGTATTCTTTTTTGCTCAGATTTGCAACAGACAATAGACATACACACAATGTATTTATGCTGTAAACACTTCCCAGTAAGGTATGCAACTGTTTTTTAAAAATAAGGTTGGTTGATTTGGCGCCCAAGGTCTAACTACTAATATTAGTGCTTTTCATTCCTAAACTACTAATGCGTTTTCCCTGCCCTTTTTCTTTCTTTTGTCTGTCTTTTTCAGCAAGGGAAGCCATATGTCTTTGACAGAGTATTGCCGCCCAACACAACCCAAGAGCAGGTTTACAATGCGTGCGCGAAGCAAATTGTCAAAGGTAAGTGCTATTTCTTTATTTCCTCCTGGGCCTTTCAGAGTAATGGAAAACATTAAGTGATATTTGCAGCCTAGGAATCAATGTTCCTTGACTGTCAGCAGAGGCCTGCTAATTAGAAACACTGAATGACAGCCTTGGCTTGGCCCCGATTTGCTGTGATGTCAGGCGAGTTATTCAATCTCTCTATACCTCCTTTCTTTATTTCTTTTGTCACCGTTTTGTAGAGCTATTCTGATTACCTAAAAGCTTAAAAGCCAGGTAGGCTATAGTGATACTTTTTCCATAATGGTTTTTAACTACTGCAAATGTAGAAGAACATCTTTATTCCTTTGCAGGAGAAAATACGTATTCCAAACACTCCCAGTTGTATATCTTCATCTGATTTATTTTGTGCATCTGTCTCCTTTATACTAATATCTCTCTGGAAGAAGTCTTAAAAGTGGAAAGTTCTTGCCATCATAGAATTTTTTTTCCTGTGTCATAAAATCATATTATGCTTCTGCTTATCGAGCTGTTCCTGCTCCTCAGCGTTCTTTAATTATAATTTCATCTAACCCACTTTCAGCCATCCTACCCAGATCCTGACATTTGTTCCTCCAAACAGGTAGCCTCAAGCCTACACTTATGTCTCAGAGATCAGTCCTTTTCTGTGGGGCTGGCCTTGGCTCTGGAGGATTCATGTCAAAATAACAGCAGGGAGATGAAGCAATTTACACGTTGCTCTACCTTGCCCTTTCAAATCAGGGGCAGGTTGGAGCTTGCCTAGGAGGAGTGGGCCATCTGGACAAAGCTGGGGGACATCTTCTGCTACTTTGTTTTTCATCTTTGAATCCATGCCTTCAAATTTGAATGCAATGGCAATGGCATTTCCAAATGTCTTGATGCTGCCACCTCTATGGGTAGCTTTGGATTTAAAAAGCAAAAGGTAGAAGCAAAACTAAAAAAAAAAAAATACCGTGCCATTTTAGATCTGCTTGTTTTTAGAAGCTGTGCTGACTAACTGAACTATTTGAAATTCATGAAAATCAGCCCTGGGTACATCTGTTAGATTAATTTTGACCCTGGACACCTGCGTGGGAGACTCACGTCAGTATGTAATGTTCCTTGCTGAGATGTATGGTTATTCACATTCTTGTTGCAGACATCAATTAATTTTGAAGGTCTCCTCAGTGAGATTATGATAGAAAAGGGAAGAGAAAAAAAAATACGTCTGTATTTGAGCACTTTTGGAATTAATAGTTTGGGCTTGTATCTGGTGGTAATTTTTGCTTCTCTCTTCTTTACTCTCCTGCTTCTGTCTTTATTGTAATTATTAGTGAATAGTAATTGTATAAAGCAATAGGTTTCATCGTGACAACTTCACACTTGCATATAACATACTCTGATATTGCCTTCTCTTGACCCCTTTATCCCCACCTCTCCTCCTATCTAACCTGTTTTCGCAGCATATCTTTCTTGGTTTGCTTCTATTCAGCCCTGTTTTCCATTTATTATCAAGCTTATACCTATTTTAAAAAAATATTTTTTAGTTCTAGTTGGATACAATACCTTTATTTTATTTATGTACTTTTTGTGGTGCTGAGGATTGAACCCAGGGCCTCACACATGCTAGGCGAGCACTCTACTGCTGAGCCACAACCCCAGCCCAAGCTTATACCTATTTTTATTAAAGTAAGATTAACCACATATATGGCAGAATTTCCTTTTTTTTTTTCCCTCTCCCATTTCATTACCAGAAGCAAATAGCATTTGCTACACGCTGTGCTAAGCATGAAGGCCATTTAAATACATCCCACCCCCTCTAAGCCAATGTAATTAGAAATGGATGGATTCCATTTTTAAAAATGCCTATGATTCACAAACAATAGTAATAATTTTTGAGTCTTTATTCACTAGATGTTTGGGCCTCTTTCAATGTTTGGATTTTTCTATAGTTTGAAGTGTCAGAAATAGGCAGTTTTCCATTAACATGTACAATTTCTACATTTTTATATATCAGTTAAAAATAAATTAAGAAGAAGAAAAGAAATAGGCAGTCCCTGGGAAGGTCTTGTGAAGATACAATCAAACTGTGGATAACTTGAGGCCCTGTATAAATGGTGAGCCACAAAGAAAACCATTTAGAATAAAATCAGGCTCTCACATGATATTATAAAAAGACATTTCTAAGACAACATAAACATGATATGAGCATGCTCATTTGGTATTAACTACGAACACCTTATTGCCCTTTCAAAAGAGATTGTAAGGGAGGAGGTAATGAAGCCAGATTGAACTTTTAAAAATATTCACTGAGACGAGTATGAAGGGAAGGAAGTCGCTGTGTATTTCTGTATTGCCAAGGTAAAAACAAGGTATGTAAGCAAGGGTCACTTGGAATACAGTGTAGCTAAGGTATCACTTGCCATAAAGAGCCCTACTTAAGTCAAGTTTGGGAGATGGTGTTTTTTCTAGAGTTCAGGACTTGAATTGAGTGATTTGGAAGGTTCCCTGACTCATGATAATGAGGTGGACTGGTGAGCTTTGCTTCCGGGGCTATCTAAACCCATGATGATTTTGAGGTGCTGGAAGACTCCATTTAACTGGATGACTTTATTCTTTCTGAGTTTTTTAATTCCTTACAACTTTGCTGGGTTTTAAAATATTTCTGATTGTAGAGTTCTGACATCTCCCATGCTCCCATCTTTGTTTGATGCTTTTCAAACTGTTGTCTGGAAACATATGTAGAATGCTTCTTTGAGAAGAGGTTGTAGGGTTTGTGATGATTGGGATAGCTATAGGAAAGGTGCCTGTGGGTGCCTAGGAATTAAATACCATGGTTACTAGATACTTTGTTGAAGTCCTGGTAACAATGTCCCGGCCTACAAAAACCACCTGGGCATTTGTTTTCCAAATTAGCTCGATGTGGAATATCCAGATGCTAGAGAAGGTGGTTTCTTGTTTTTCAGTTCTGATTTCTTTTAAGTTTCATTGTGTCATTCATTTACTTATGCAAATAGTATTAGCCACTTATTACCATGTTAGTGTAAGTCCTGCAGGGGATAGAGTCACCAAGATCCATAATACTGTCTGCAAGTATAAGGCAAGAGGCAGACATGTAGGCATTATGTGCTTTAAGATGGGTGTGTGCAAAATTCTAGGGGAGCACAGAAGAAGGCCACTTTGTATTGATTTTTATGGATGGGACAAGGGAATGGAGAATTAAGGAAGACTTTGTGGAAAGACTGAGTCTTGAGGATGGTAGAATGTATAAGCAGAGGGAGTTGCAAAAACATAAAGACGAATTATGTGGCATCTTGGACAGCTTGGAGTGACACAGGGTACAGAGGGGATGACAAGAAACGAGGCTGAAAAAGTTAGATAGGATCCAAGTTTGGTGGAAATTCAGATTAATGGACTTTATCCTGGAGGCAGTATGGAGCCATAAGTTGTAAGTTTAGGATGATATACTCAGACCTATTTTACTATTATATTTTATATGGTTCTTAAGAATAAATCTGTCATTTATCATGTACCCCTATGCACTTAACATGTTATTGTGTCTTAAATCTTAACTTAATGTGGTGTGAACATTATTAATTCTTTAACACCAAAGAGAAATTTGAGGCTCAGAGAGGTAACGTAACTTGGCCAAGTCAGTTAGGAAGGCATGGGGCTGGAACTTGAGCCTGTTTTGTTCGACTGACTTATATTCTTTTGAATTACCTTGCCCTTACTTTTCTGGTGGGTGCACAATGCGCACTTAAAAACAATCATAAAATAATTATTTTATGAGTTCCTTTTCTCTCAGGCCATATGGACTATTAACTAAGCATTGCAAAAAGACAGGGATAGGAGTGGATATGGGAGGAAAGTAAAGGAAATAGAATAGCAATTGTGGTTCCTGAGCCTTGGGATGGCCCTGGCAGTCTGCCAATTGTGAGGTATATTTTCATTCTGAAACCCAGCATGCCATTACTTGGGCACAGTGACTGTCCTTCAGGCTGGCTGGGCATTCTCCTTGGCCACTGGTGTTCGGCCAGATAGCCTCTACAATCTACACTCATGGGTTATTTGAACAGTTTGACTAGCTGGTGGAAGATTAGGATTGTAAGCTGAGGATGACCTGTCAGCCACTATCCCTGACAGGTCTCCATTTCACCTGAAGAAGTGGTAGGAAGCCACAATAGCCTCCTTGGGAACCCTGATGTGTAGGTCTGATTAGGTCCCCAAATTCTTACCTAACAATGGAACTCATTCTGTCCAAGCAAAGCCTAGCTCAGAACTGAGCAAAATGAAGTGTGCACATCTGGGCTTCTGAAGTCTGCAAAAGGAGACTCTTTTTCCTCTTCTCTGGGGATACGAGAAGGTGCTTGGCACCTGCAGTAGAAGCTCTCTGGGGTTTGCCTGGTTGCTGGAAGGATGTATGCTGGGCTTGAGGGGTGCAACAGGCTGTGTGGTGTGAGCTTAGATCATATCACACCAGAGCCCATCACAAAGAAAGGTTCTGTCCAGCAGAGCATGGCTCTTGTGTAGAAATAGTCACTCTGTTTTGGCAGAGGCTAAAACAAACGCATTCCTCAGGCCCAGGAATTGTCTGCCATTCAGTGTGATGAAAGTGTCTTTTTGTGGGCTGTTTCTGTGGAGCGGAGCGGTGTGTGTTCTGTGCAGTGCTGAGCATAGGCCTTCTCTCACTGTCTTCCCGAGTGGATCCTGTGCTCCCTCCTCTTCCTGTTGTCTCAGTGGTCCAGCCCCTCCACACACTGTTTGTCCTTGACCTCCTCCTGCCTTTCTTCTCCACTAAAAATAAAATAGACTGAATAAACAGGCCCCCCAAACCTGGAGTTTAGAAGAAAATAGAGAACACTAGATTCAAAGACCTTTGTCTTTTCTTTTCAGAATTGAGAGCAACGTCAACTCTGATCAACCTTGAACGCTGGGGAGCTTCTTCAACAATGTATTAATTGTAACATGATTGTAAATACTTTAAAGGCCAATCAGAGTTTAAGTTTTCTTTCTTTCTTTTTCTTTTCTTTTCTTTTTTACTTTTTTCCTTAAAAAAAGAAAGAAAGAAAGAAAGAAAGAAAGAAAGAAAGAAAGAAAGAAAGAAAGAAAGAAATTGTGCTCATTGTTGAAATACTAGAGAGAAAGGGATTCTTCCAGTACAGTCTCATGTGCTTGGTCCAAAACAATTGATATACCATCAGTGAGCTTTCCTTTTCATAGATGTAATCCAGGAGCTTTGGGGTAGCAGCTGCTAGCCAGCAGTTAGCAGGATTGTGCCCTGTGCTTGGCTAGAGTGGCCTCAGGGGTGAATGCAGAGGAGGAACCTTGGACTGGACTCTCTTAGTGTGGGCAGGGCCAGGGCTCTGAACTGTTTCCTTTAAGGTGTGGCAGGTTTCTCAGAGTCATTCCCTGGGGCCCCCTGTGTGCCTGAACACTTGTAGGGTGCCAGTGGAGGCTGCCACCCTGTGGAGAAGGAGAGGGAGCATAACTTCTGTTTGGTCTCTTCAGTACTGTGCTAATACCTCAGCTCAGGGCTAATGATTGGGAAGCCCTTTTCAGTCTGGGGAGAAATGCTTAATTTCTAATAAACAGAAGGTTTAGTATTGTAATTGTGGCCAGGGTTCCAATTGTCTAGAGTTGTTTGTGTTATGAATGTAGGATTTTGAAAGCATACCTGAAGGGTGAGGACTCTTTCGTTTGGGTCCCTTATAGCACATCATATTCATGATATTCTGCTCTGGCCACCATCTTCAGGGCTGAGGAATCTTTGTTGGGTGGTACTGTGGATTGAACCTAGTGGTGCTCTACCACTGAGCTACATCTCCAACCCTTTTTATTTTATTTTAAGACAGAGTCTTGCTAAGTTGCTCCGGCCAGCCTTGCACTTGGGATCCTCCTGCCTCAGTCACCGAGTAGCTGGGATTGCAAACATGCACCACTATGCCCAGCCTGAGAACTCTTTTCTCTGAGCAAGTTGGCATTTTCATGAAAACTGAAACTTGAACCTTTAACCCTAACACTGACTTTTTCAAATTTTTGCTTTCTGCTGTTACCAAGGAAACCATTTCCAGCAGTCTGATAAGTGTGAACATTTCCTCTCTTCTCTCTCTGGTTCTCTCTCTCTCTCTCTCTCTCTCTCTCTCTCTGTGTCTTTCTCAGTACAGCTTGACACAAACTCTTCAGGGCTGCTAGGATTAAAAATAAAAAAAAAAAATATTACCGCTTAATTTTTCTCTATTTTTTAGCTTCCTAAAGGAAAATCCTCTTTCTTTTCTGATCTCAGTTCACACTCCAACAACCTCAGATCAGTCTATATTAAAAGAAATTCAGAAAACCTGGCAAAGCAAAATAAAAGCAAAACAGCCTCATAAAATTCAGAGAGCACTCTCTTCTCTCTCATTCTGAAGTGGATGGATGGAGCGAATCGCCTGATTTGCTTTTCTCACGTGGCCCTGAAGAAGACACCTCTGTATGGGTCTCCTCTCCCTGCCCTCACCGACTGCATGCATGAAGAATTCCTCCTCTTGTGCAGAATGGCGGGCCAGGGATATTAATTATGCATTGTTTCCATTTCGGTGATGTTTGTGTGGATGAAGGGGGGAAGCAGGAGGGAATATATTTTAATCACTTCTGCTGCTTTGAAAGAATTCCCACAGATAATCTTCAGCTCTGCAGCAGAAAGCAGCTCCGTTCAGCACGCCTCCCCTCCTCCCTGCGTGAAATGGAAGTGGCCTGCCGTGTGTGTGGGCTTGCATAGTGTGCTGGTTGTGTAATTAAAAGAAATTCCTGATGCTGATGGGCCTGGGCCTCCTTGCTAGCCCCAACACTGAAAAAACAGAGGCATTAAATTTAAGTCAGGGCCTGCTGGTTTCTAGGCGGACTGGATGTCAATTTATAGCGTGAGGCCTCCTCCCTCCCCCAGCTGGTCTGTTGTGACAGAGCTCTGGTGGGGCCGACATAAGAAACCTCCCTGAGGAGCTGGCCTGGGCCAGGGTTTAGTCTGACCCAAATCAAAATCTTTAGGCAAGTCCTTTGAGTCTAACCTCACTCCAGAGACTTACAGCACAGATAACATTTCCCTCAACTATTCTGAAGAGATCAATGGAAGGAAAACTCAAGTCTATTAAAAAAATAGTTTTCTGCTTGGCATCTGTGTCTTAAGTTTGATGTTACTGGGAGAAAGGGTGTCTGCCTCCTCTTCATTAATGAGCTCTGTATAAATGTGAGCCCATTTCTTTCTGTTTGTGGAGCAGTGGAGGCCCTCATTTCTGTTCTGATCTCACATTTTTCCTTAAAATGCACATGGAATTGACACATCTGGGTGAAAAAACGAGATGGGCCAATGGGAAACTGCAGTTTTAAAATATGCATCAATACCAGCATAGGACCAAAGTAATGAGTTAATTTTAATTTGTTTTCCTTGCTCACAGATGTCCTTGAAGGTTACAACGGGACCATTTTTGCGTATGGACAGACTTCATCAGGGAAAACCCACACCATGGAGGTAAGGTTGCAGCGAGCTGTGCTGCCCGTCTCTGCAGTGACCGAGTAGAACTGATGCTGCAGCAAAACTTGAGGGATATGTGGCTTTCTTTACTGCACAATGGAGACAGTTATGTTTGGCCAATTAATTTTGTCTTTGAGAAGTTTTGAAATAGCAGTAATAAAAACAATTCTTTGTTGATAGCTCTGTCGAACTGTAGAAATAAATTATGTTAAAACATAATCATCAGGGCTGGGAAGTACTTGGTGATACAGTATATGCCTGGCATGTGGGAGGCCCTGGGTTCGATCACTAGCACTGCAATAATCTGCAACCCACAAATCAATAAAGTGACGTGAGTATCCTTATGAACTGGGGCCCAGCCTAACCCATAGAGCCTGTTGTGACAATCATTTGCATGGGAGAGAGCTTTACTTATTCTTTAGAGTAAGTACAGACTATAGGTCAGGGAGGTGAAGAAGTTATCCTGTAGACCACAAGCAGCCCACAAACATACTATTGTTTGGCTTGTGTGGTGGTTTAAAAGAAAATTGTAGACAGTGTTTAAAATGGGATGACTTCACACAGTTCTGATTTTTCTACCATAGATCTCACCACAATGGGTGAATTTCCCCACAAATGAAAAGCAGACTTCCCTAGATCAGGGACCTTTACTGTCTCATTGGCTTTTCCATTAACATTTCTTGTGCATGGAACAACAGATGTTATGGAGAAAAGGTTCCATAAAACATTTATTAAAATAGTACCCACACTGTAGTCCTGGTCACCCCCTGTTCATAGGGCTGGGTTCTCCAGCAGACCCTACCATACTTCACATACACTGAAGGTGACATGAATTTATGCTGACCATACTTCCTTGCTAACTTGCATATATGGCCCCTGTAGACACCCAAGGGAGTGACCCCAGGTCACATTCCTTGCTGTAGAGCTCTGTGACTTCTAAGTTGTCTTCCAAAGAAGGCACATTTTGGACCAAACTGGCCCCTTGCACCGCCCTCTTCCTCCTTTTTACCAGGACTCCTGTATGGCCTTCAGGGCTGGATAATTCTCCTGAAGGCTAGGCCCAACTGACAGGTGAGGAGAGGAGGAGAGAGTGGTTATTATAAGAAACTGCACAGAGCAAGTTTGGGGAATTAAGCTTACAAGCAGCAGGGAAAGCTGAATCCTTAATCCTTCAAGCTAAGGTGTTTTCATTTACCTACCCTCCTGGGAACAGCATGGAGACGGCTGCTGCAGAACAGGGTTAGCTTATGAATCATTCCTATTGAAGAGGAGATTTCAAAGGCACAGGGCTAAAATCCTCAGGGCTCTGATGTTCTGCATGCACTGATTTCAGGTGTTGGATAGGATGCGAGTGAGGGTGGGAGATCTCGTTGCTGTGGTGTTGACTCTCTTTCACCGATTTTGCTAGAGACAAAGTAGTTCAGAGACTGTGCAGATTAAAGAAATAGGAGGTTTATTGCCACCTTTTCTTGAGCAGGACTGTCTCTTGACACACAAGCTGTATCTGCCCAGGGGACAAGTCTCCACCTCTCACACCCTACAGCAGTGACCCTGGGTAACACCAGCCTTCCTGTCTCCATGCTCTGCCTCAGCCCTCACCCTCTCTCTCTTTCTGGGCCCCAAACCCTTCACCTTTTAGGTTCTAAAAAAGCTGCAGTTTTACATTTCCTGAGGCCCACTCACTGTAGTGGGAAGAATATGCTTCATAGGTCTCAGGGCACACGAGAGGGAGACAGAGCCTCTTGTGAGGCAATCTATTAGTTTTTTTGAAAATTACCAAACTGTACAATACAAAAAACAAATTCTCAATATTTATTTATTTATTTATTTTTTGGAGTTGTAGATGGACAGAATGCTTTTATTTTATTTGTTTATTTTATATGGTGCCAAGGATCAAACCCAGTTCCTCATCTATGCTAATCAAGCTCTCTGCCACTGAGCTATGGCCCCAGCCTTCGATATTTAAAATCCCCCAACTCATAGGGAATGCTTACAAGAATCACTTTTAAGCTTTGTGATTCATTAATCTTTGGGAAATACAGAGTATTTACTAAATGTCAGAAGTTTATAAGACAGTAAGAGAGAGACTGCTCCCCAGGGTAACATCTTACTGGAGGCGGGGGGAGTAGATGAGTGTGGGTGATGGGGAAGAGCTGTACCAGCCCTTTCATAACAGTATGGGAGGCATTTTGCTAAATCAGAGGCTCTCGAGTCCTAGGTGCTTCTGTCTCCCCATGTCAACTCTGCTCTCCTGCCCAGAGAGCACTCATTGCCAACTGAAGGAAACTAGATTCTCTATAGATTTCACCTCCAGTTGCCTAAATTCTTTTGCCCCTGAATCATTGGTTTCAAAAAGATGATGGCAACGAGTTGCTTTTCTTTATTGTGACTTCTGAAGATCACACACTAATGCCTGCAGTTTAAAGGAGTTGGTGTGGATGAGTCCTTTTCCTCTGCCACCCAGCCCCCCTTGCTGAATCCTCTTCTTTTGTAGGGGAATTATAGGTTGGAGAAAGGTAGGGGATATTTCAAGAGGAAAGCAGAGGAAAGGAGGAGTCCCAAGTTGGAGTTACAGAGCCTATAAGAGATGAAGAAATCCAGGACCCTGGAATGCAATTAAGTCAAAAAAGCTCTGCAGGTTCTGCATCCTCTAAAAGGAAGATTTTATGTATTCAGAATTATTATTTGCGTTATGATCTTTCAGAGGCATTCAAAAGGGGGATGCTAACTTCCTGAGTGAACAGAGATGTCACATTTTAAAGCTGTTTTTCATTTTAATCCCTCCAATTTTGGGTCTGATATCCAGTGGTGATTCCATTATCTTCTGTTGAGGGGAACAAACACAAACCTGCATAAAATCGGAAATATTAGCTTCTCATGATGGAAAATCTAAGGGGAGGGGTTCAGTAAGAATATGAATCACTGGACAGTGTTGCTGCTTAGCTTGGGAGGTGCCATCATGTGAGGGCTATGAACTTGTCAGCAGGGTACCCAGGATGCTAGGGGTGCTGGCTGCAGTCAGGGCCTTTTCTTTGTTCCATGTGTGATGCGGAAGGGAGTCTTGGCTCTGTGTCTCCCTTGTGGTCCTCTGAAGCACACTGATAGAGATTGTTGGAGACACCTTGTGTTTTTCCTCCTGCTCAGAGGGACGCCTAAAGGTCATCCGAATGGTATAGCCTTCACTGCCGTGGAGCTGGGCTGTTGGAGTGATGTAGAACAAAACCACGCAGAGTGCCTAATGCTCGCATACTGCTGGCTGCCTGCTTTCCCATCCTAAGTGATTCAGGAAACTCTGTCCTGCTTGGGAGGTTGAGGGGGCCTCTGGCACTGGAACAAAGAGAGTCTTGTTCAGTTGCCAACGGCCTAGGTCTTGTTTCTTCTTTCATACCAGCTCCTAGAAGGTCACATTTAGTGGGGGAAATTTTTGAAGGGAATTGTACAGGATGCAGTTATAAAAATGTTTCTCCTCTTTGCTATCTGGCAGGAACAAGAGGATGAAGCAGTTCATTTCTTTGCTCCTCGAGGTCATGCCTAATCCTCCAGCTAGGCTGTTCTATAGATGGGCACCATTCTTCCTCGGTTCCCATGCTTCATTATACCTGGTCTTACCTCTGCCTGCATTATTTCTGCCCGTCCTTAATCTGACCCATCCCTCAAGATTTGGTGCCAGAGAAGCCTACTTTTATCACCCCAGCTGGAAAGGCTTTTCTGTTTCCTGAATTTCTGTAGCTTTCTGCTTTTTCGCCACTGTTTATGGCCTGAGGTGATTGTGCACTCTGTGTGTGTGTGTGTGTGTGTGTGCATGTGTGTGTATTTCATCTGCAAGGCAGCACAGGATTAGTGAAGATCTCTGTCTCTCATACACACCCAGACACATATGCACACTCCACATACATTACACACACACACACACACACACCACAAATCCCATATACATCATACACATAGATATATGTCACACAGAGATATCCCCGGCATACACTTAGATTATGCACAAATACATGTGCATGCCTCATGTATATTATACTCACACACATTTGACACACACTACACAGAGACACTCCATATAACTCACATATATATACCATACACACCCATCATGTACATTACACACATCACCACCAGACACTCCCTGGCATACATATAATATTACATGCATACAGTTGTATGTACTCAACATACATCACATTCACACACAAAGAAACACACATACAGACACATAACACACATACATATAGCACACAAGCCTCATGTAATACCACACACCAACACACAAGCGTCTCTCTCTCTCACACAACACACTGCTTTGGCAGGCTCAGTTTAAGCCAGGAATCAATTAGAAGATAAATCTGATGAAAGAGAAAATATCCCAAGGAACAAATTTTAGTCAGGTAGAAAAATTTTAGATTACTACTCATTCTTTGGTCACGGACCATGGAAAAAGCTAAAAGACTGTCTTGAATTATCAGAGAGCTCTGGATGTTTGTGTAGAGAGGTCTTTTGATTGGCTGTATGGAGTCCTGACATGTGACCAGAAAGAAGTCTGTTTTCACCATAGGTACTGTTTCTGCCAAGTCTCCACAGTCCACAGTGTGTGGGCCGTGATGAGTTGCATGTTTATGATGGCCTCTGCAATTTTAAAGTCCCTAACTCTCAGTGTCCATATGTTGTGTTTTCCTAAGATATTGTGTTAGCTTTTGGTTGCCATGACCAAAATACCTGACAAGAACAACTTAGAGGAGGGAAAATTTATCTGGAGCCCGTGGTTTCGGAGGTCGCAGTCCACAGACTCCTGAGTTCATTGCTCTGGGCCCAGGTGAGGCAGCACATCACAGCTGAAGGGCCCAGTAGAGGAAAGCAGCTCAACTCATGATGGGATCAGGAAGCAGAGAGAAGCAGAAGGGAGTCACAGGGAAGAGGAACCTTTCTAGGGCATGCCCCCACCTCTTCCAGCTACAACCCACCTGCCTATAGTTACCACTCAGTCCATTCTAATTAGAACAGACTGATTAAGTTACAGCTCTCACAATCTGATCATTTCACCTCCAAATATTCCTGCATTCATACAGGAGCTTTTGGGGAGCACCTCACATCCAAACCATAACGGATACATAGTAATTACATAGTAACAGTCTGGGAAGGAGTGTGCTTCAGACTCTTCAGTTTGATTGAGTTCCAACCACTGCTAACTGAGAACCTACTGTGAACTGAATGTTACAATGCTAACATTTATTGAGCCCTTCCTGTGTCACTAAGCACTTTATATATCCTATTTAACTTAAAATCTGCACTAATTCTATGCAATAAGTACTGTATTAAGTCCCCTGAGTGGTAGGTGGAATTATTAATGTCTTGGCCATCCCCATCTTCAGGAAGAATATAGCCAAATTAAAAAGCAATATAAATTCATCAAATGACTTATTATTTATAATAGCTGAGGGCATTCCAGAGGAGTACTCATTTTCCCAGGTAAGAGTATTGCCAAAGGCCAAACAAATCTGCATTCAACTTTTCTGTTGCTTTTAATAAAACGGGAGTGTCAGAATCAGGTGTGCAAAGGAGGACCCACAATGTCAGGTGCTTCCTTGCTACCTTCAAAGTTCTTGCTTTTGGTAACACAAATGTTGACTTGCAAGTCATTTTCAGAGAGATATTTAGTGGTGAAAACCTGCAGAGAAAAAAGGATTAAATGAGGAAAACAGAGCTGATCTTCCAGGCACTGGGCCTATTTGGAACAAGGAGATGGGTCAAAATTGTAAAGGTTGTTGGGCATCCCTGAAAGACTGCATGGAAAACTGAGTTTTGTGCTTTGCTTTCATTTCCATTTATTCCTAGGGGTTATAACTTCCTAAAGGTCTAGAAAATTCTCCAGGTTTTCATTTTCCATGATCATTGTGACCTGTAGACTGTGTGTTTGTGCACTAATGGGTAGTTTATCACCTATGACTGTAGCCTGAGAAGGCTCACTGGAGGCTGCATACCTAGAGCCACACTAACCTGTTGCTTTCAGTGCTTCTGGAACCCTTCTTTAGGAGTTGCTGTCAGATCCTATGGCCTCCTGCCCCACACCCCACTCCTCCAGTCCTTGGGTGGAACCCAGGGCCTTGTGCATGCTTGGGGCACTCACTCTACCACTGAGCTGCATCTCCAGCCCCCATGCCATCTCCTGAACATTTTCAGAGGTGCAAAGTTCTGGGTCTCAAAATTGGATTTAGGGCCAAGGTGTGGTGGTACACACCTGAAATTTCAGCCACTTGGGAGGTAAGGCAGGAGGATTCAAGGCCAACCAAGATAGCTAATTAGAACTTGTCTCAAAATCAAAAAGGTTGAGATGTAGCTCAGTAGTAGAATTCTTGTCTAGCACATACAAGGCCCTGTATTTCCAGTACTAGGCAGAAAAATAGGATTTAGTAATAGTTCAAATAGCAGAAGATTTCATCGATTCCTTACCTCCCTAGGTATGATGAATAAAAGTGGAAAAAAGAATATGATAATATTCCTAATTAATGTGAATTAAGTATTAGAAACAACCAAAAAATATCTGGAATAATTCAGGCTGGGAATTACAAAGTTGAAAATTGATGAAGTGGATTTTCTTGATTGGTCTGTAAAATGACACTGAAGATATTTTGAGAATAAGGTTATTAGAAATTATTGAGCAAGGATGACTTTAATGAAATGAGGTCTTTTAGTTCTTAAGGAGATTTTATTCCAGGAGGTTAACTTGCTTGAACTTGTAGGTTCTGGTCAATTTGTAAATATTCACAAATAAAACCCATATCCTCTCATTGCTTGTTCTGCTCCCCCCGCCCCACCTGCAACTACCCACATGCACACATTTGCTGTCCTGAGTTCCAGCAAGAGGGAATATTGTGGGGCCTCACGACTTGAGAGGACAACCCTTTCCTGGATAAAAAACTAAACATATTGAATTATTTTGCCAGCTTTTGGTGTGTTGGCATTTCAGGTAGATTCCAAAGGGTTCCGACAGCCTAGATGTGGGTACTCCCTTCTCCATGGAGTTCTGTTGAAGAAACTCAGGATTAACCCTTCTTTCTTGCACATATTTCCCAGCACTCTTTAATTGCCCGTGTTTGTATATTCCACCCACCAGGGGAAGCTGCATGACCCTCAACTCATGGGGATCATCCCGAGGATTGCACATGATATCTTTGACCATATTTATTCCATGGATGAGAACCTGGAGTTTCACATCAAGGTAAGTGCTACAGATGTAGTATCCAAAGAAGAAACTGGGCCCAAAATCGTGTTTCTCAGTCTCCCTATTATTTAGATGTAAAAGATGAATTTATCTATTTCAAATGACAGTCTGGTGGAAAGCACAGCCCTATTTATTATTTAAAGACATAGGCCTGTACTTAGCCATCTGGATGGTTTGCTTGAAATATCGAGGTAATGAAAGTAAAAGTTCTCTTTGGGATAGAACCATCTTGATGGTTGTCTGAATTCTGCCCTTTACCTGAGGATTCCTGGGGATAGAACTGAAATATGTCTGTTTGGTATTGAAGAGCATTCCCCACAGTGTGTTCCTTGGAATATAACCACTTGTTTATTAATACCACAGTAAAGGGTTATATGGCAACATAAGCTGGAAAAATGATTTGTTGAATATTGTCAAATTTATCATGAGTTTAAATGTGCTGTTGGGAAATGCCTCTCTGCAAAGGAGAAATGTGCTATGCTACATATTCCTGTGGACACATTTACCCCTTTAGAGTGTGACAGGCTAGTGTTTTAGGAGCATACTCTGGGATATATTGGGGAAAGGGATTCTCCTCCTCCTTTTTCTCTTCCTCTTTATTTTTGTTTTAAACTAGAACCTCTGCTTGGCTTAACTTTGATTTGAAAGAGAGATTTGTATTCTCTTATTATAGGTGTTAATACATGAAATTTGGTATTGGGGTATTAGACCTGTTTGTTTGCAGATTACTAAAGGCTACTTATTTAAGCAAATTGAGAAAATCATTACAAGATTAAGGATCTGATGGCAGGCATGGAGTAGGGGCTGTGGAGGGCAGAAAATTCAAGCTCTGCTTTTCTTTCTTTCTTTTTTTTTCACTTTAAAAAATTGAGATATAATTCATATATGTGTGTGTGTGTATATATATATATATATATATATATATATATATATATTTCATCCTTTCAAAATGCACAATCTAAAATTGTACAGTCATGATCCTTATCTAGTTCCAGAACATTTCATCACTCTCAGAAGTGACTTCATAACCTATGACAATCCCTGATATTTTTCTTTCTGTTATTCCCAGACTGTCTTTCTGTCTTTGTTGGGGAGAGAGTTGGGCAATGTGGTAGCTCCTTTTCTGCATGCTCTTATTACAGTTCCACATTCCACTGGGAAGGGGCTCATTGGCCAAGGCTAGAGTAGGTGGTCTCTGCTATGATTAACTGTGTCCAGGATGCACATGGTATCTGGGTTTCCATCCCTATTACTAGAGGCCGGGTTAAGAGGAAGGGGAGGAGAAGGAGCAGCATTTTTTAATTTGGTACCAGAGGATTGAACCCAGAGACGCTTAACCACTGAGCTACATCCTTTATTTTATACATCTCTTTATTTTATTTTTTATTTTGGGACATGGTCTCTCTAAGTTGCTTAGAGCCTTAAAATTGCTAAGGTTAGCTTTGAACTTGTGATCCTCCTGCCTCAACCTCGTGAGCCACTAGGATTACAGGTATGCACCACCGTGCCCAACAAGAAGAAGCAGTTTTAAGAAGCCATGGAGCCCATCAGGTCAGCTGAAAGATTTTCCTGAAGGCTGGGACTTAGTGCACTGGACCTAAGAGCTTATTAGAGATAAGGAAACTGAAGCTCAAATATGCAAAAGTTAGATGGTCCAAGGCAAGAATAACCCTAGAATGGACCAACTCCGCCTGCAGTGCCTTATCTGTTATATTAAACTTGGTCCCTTACGTCTGCTCTATACTTTTCCAAAATTACAAGAAAAGAAGGCAACAACTGTTTGCCCAATTATAAATGACATCCAACAAATCACTTTTCCTTATAGTTCCATTTGTTGACTAAAGCCTGCTTCTCCTTCTTGCCCAAGCTTTGGTATATCTAAGGATACAGAAGCTTGTTGCTTTGATGGGATCAAGATTTAGAAGCTTAGTGCTTTTCTAAGACTGTTTGCATTTAAATACCTTAAACTACTGCAGGGTTCTTATGTGATAATCCTGGAATAAGATGTTAAACCAATTACTGCCCTGGAAATAGTGCCTTGTGTTAGAATCTTATTAAGATAAAAACAGCCCTGGCATGAAGGAGTGGGTAGGGGGAGAGGAACAACACTAAGTCTCTATAGCTGAATTTTATAGTTCAGGTTCCTTTTTTTGCATTAACAGTTATGTTTCTTATTTCATAAATAATAATTATTAGTAGATAAGTTAGCAGCTGACTGCTCTGTATTTTGAACTTAGTATTGACAGACACTAAATCCAAAGAAAGAAGGCTGATCAGATCAAGGCAAAATTGAAAATCTATTCCTTGAAATGAATCCCACAGATGTTTTAAACATGATTTCTGAACATGTTCTTGCTCAATGCCAAACCATGCCTATTTTCCTGCTGCCTGGTCTCACAAAATTTTAGAAATGACAAGATAACAACATTAGACCCCTCACCCCACCTAAAGCAGAAATTAATAAACCAGAATTCTGCTTCTACTTTCATTAAATGTAAGTAGGATTCTAATTGTCAGATTTGACAATATGTAATTTGTGACTGCTTTTTAGATGTAATTAATATTCTCTATAATCTATGGATATGATGCCACATGTTTAAGATCTCAGAGGTAACAGAAAATCTTAATGGACATCGAACAATTCTGAAATAAGTAGCATGGGTTGGCACCAGCATGGAGCTGGCCGCCAGAAGGGTCCGGATTAGAGACATTTTAGCATCGGAGGCCAAACAGGCCTAAGAATTAGGGCTGCAGGAGTGTATCAGGAGTGAGGGGCAGGGGTGGAGGTCAGTGGTACAGGCCCTGGATTCAGTCCCCAGTACTGCCAAAAAGTAAGCAAAACCATTTATGTGTCCATGACAGATGGAGTGACAGGGTGGGGGTGGGGGGTTGCAAAGATGTTCAGGTAGTTGGATATTGTTAGGGGTACAGACAACCAGGAGAGCAGGCCCAGCTACAAGTTTCAAGGTTAAAAGCCAGGACCCCAAGTCTCCCAGTCACTGGGAAGTTAGATGGTTTCAGACTGAGGCACATGAAAGATGATAAGCTAGGGCTGAGTTGGGGTAGGGACTTGGACCAGGTAGGGAGTCTTCATGTTCCCTGAGGTAGAGGCAGGACTGGTCCCGAGCTGGGACATGGGGGTGAAGGCTCACCTGCTCATCATAGCCTCGCTTTACAACTCTATAGCTATAGTCATGAAAGCTTAATGGCAGAATATATTTTGAGAGATGCATCGTTAGGCAATGTTGTTATTCCGTGAGCATTATAGAGTAAATTTACACAAACTCAGGAAGCTACCATGTCAGGAGGTAATATAATCTGATGGGACCACTGTTGTAAACACAGTTCATTCTAGGGTGTATGACTGTATTTTCTTTTTGGTTATTTCCCTGTTTAGATTTCAAAAACACTTATGAACATGGAGGAGAAAAAATTCATCTGAGAGGCAAAAGTCAGATGTAAACAGAGTATAGACTCCTAGGGGGAATTTTTGATATCATAAGGTCTAATGGCTTTGTGACAGATGGGAAAAGGAAGGCCTAGGGTCTTGGCTGCCTGTGAATTAAATGCCCAAGACCACATATTTCGTTTATAGAGTTCTTAAACATCAGCTAGCAAAGTATCTCCTGGGGAATTTAGAAGCTGACTCCTAGGCCCTTGTGTAGTCTCTGTGAGATTCTAATTCAGTAGGACTTCAGGGCTCTGCAATTTAAACAAATTCTGTAAGTGATGCTGATGTAAGTGGCTCTTGGGCTGAGATTTGAGATTGATTATCTGGAAGGATTCCCTCTCTTCCTTTCACTTGTGTGTGTGTGTGTGTGTGTGTGTGTGTATTTTGCTGGAGATTAAACTCGGGGCCTTACACTTTTTTTATTTTGAAATAGGGCCTTGCTAAATTACCCAGGCTGGTTTTGAACTTGTGATCCTCCTGCCTTAGTCCTCTGAGTAGCTGAGATTACAGGCATGTGCTACCACGCCCAGCTTCTAATCATCTTTTATTCAACCACATTTGTCCAAATCTTTCCTAGACTGGCCATCACTAGCTCTCTCCCAGTTACCCTTTGAACTCTTGTATTTCCAAGTTCCTTGCCCATGTCCTTCCCAGTGCTCTCACAGAGTCTGTTGAGGTTGTCAGTATCATGCAATAAGCTGAGGACTACTAATTTTTAAAAATCACTTGCAGAGAATGTTTTCCATTCTGGCTGTTGTTATACATAAAAGTTTGCTTGGTGCTCATCTAAGGTACAGCCTGGAGTTCTCTCCTAAGTGGCCTCTGGCACATTGGTTTGACTGACACCAGAGGAGACCAAGGGATCTGCCTTGTGTGGGGAGGGAGACCATCTACACTTAGCAGAGATGCCTTTGGCATCTCCTCTTACTCTTCTTAGCCATGCACAACAGAAGCTTTTATGACTTCTAAATAATGATGTTTTTGAAATATAGTGTGGCATTTCTATTCCAAATTCAATTTATTTTTAACCAGGTTTCCTATTTCGAGATCTACTTGGACAAGATAAGGGACTTACTTGATGGTGAGTAACTGAATGCTTGTCTTTATTTGCTGTTTAACTTAAGTCCAGGAGGTTGAAACGATTTACAGCACTTCCGCTTGAGGAACTGATGAAAATTTATAGAGATCTTGTCTTGCCTTTAGGCTATATGCTTTTTCATAGATACAGCTTCAACTTGCAAATTGCAAAAAGATTAGATTTACCTATCTTCTGCATCAATTTCTATTTTTTTTCCAATAGAGGGTCTTTAACTTTTATTTTCTTCTTTGCATGTCATCATTATCATCTCTATAGTGTCCAAGACCAACTTGGCTGTTCATGAAGATAAAAACAGAGTTCCGTATGTAAAGGTATGAGGAAGACTTGATGGGTGGTGTGATTGATTTCTGTCCAGGCACTGTTGAAATAATTATTACACAAGATGCCCAGAATATTATCTATAAAAGCTATATAGTTATTTAATCACATTTCTTTATATTCTTTGGTTTTGAAAAAATCAGTATTTGATTTGTTTAATTGTATCTTTCGTTTATATAAATCATTATCATCTTTTTTTGTTCTGGGAATCAAACTCAAGACCTCACATGACTATTCTAAGCATACATGCTTTACTACTGAGCTACACCCCAGCTCTTTTTATGTAAATTAGTATTATTTAGAAATTATTTAATTTTGTTCACATTAAAAAATATCTATTTATTTATATGTGTATTTATTTTGTGGTCCTGAAGATTGAACCAAAAGTGCTCTACCACTGAGCTGCATCCCCAGCATTTTTAATTTTTTATTCTGTGACAGGGTCCTAGTTTCTGAGGGTGGTTTTGAACTTGCAATCCTCCTGCCTCAGCTTCCTGATCTCTGGGTTTATAGGCATGCAGTACTGCACCCAGCATCGTTTTCATTTGAAGAGGTTGAGGGAGGAGGATCACAAGTTCAAGGCCAGCCTGGGCAACTTAGCTAGACCCTGTCTCAAAAAAAAAAAAAAAAAAATTAGAGAAAAAGAAAAAAAAAAAAAAGGATCTGGGGATATAGCTCAGTAGAAGAGCGCCCCTGGGTTCCATCCCTAGTACTGCAGGAGGAAAAAAAAGGTTTCAGCTTTGAGCACAGTAGTTGATACTTTGTAGTCAGAAATCCATCATAGCATTATATGTAGAACTTCAAAGTGTCTCTTGATGGCTAAAATGGTAAATAAATAAAGATGGAAGGCAACACTGTACTTCATGCATTTCTTCTCATCGATTTTTTTCTTTTGTTTTGTCTCCTGAAAATACTGCTATTGAATATGAGTATGTACTCAAAAACCTGGGAGAATCCAGCATTTCTTTTATGGTTTCTCCTAGGTTTCCCAGGGTTTGCTCACACTTCTCTTTAATGTAGAATTCAAGCCCTAGGCAAGGGGAAGTTGTTGGATCAACATTGCAGCTTTTCTATTTATCTGTACCTCTAAAAAGAAATGGGAAAGTGTGTTTAGCTGCTTCAAAATATTGTTGCTTTTCAACTCTTCCAATGACCAACCGACTTGCTTCCGACTCCCTTGCAGGGGTGCACTGAGCGGTTTGTGTCGAGCCCTGAGGAGGTTATGGATGTGATAGACGAAGGCAAAGCCAACCGGCATGTGGCAGTGACAAGTAAGCACCACGTGGTTTCCTTACTGTGATGAGGGACATGGTGGGTGGTGATGAGGTGCAGATGCAGGAAAGCAGGGTAAGGCCACAGGAGAGCAGTGGCCCCAGATGCCAGACCACATGCAGCATGAGCCTGCCCAGGCCTGTCAGGAGAAATGTCCTCACTGTACTCGAAACTCTGAGGTGTTTAAAACTCTGGGTGAGACTTATGGACCCTGATAACAGGCTCAGCCTGAATGTTGGAGGAAAACAGAGAAGTCAGCTTCTAAGTTATTCATTTTAACCATAGTATTTATTGCTCAGTTAAAAACAAAAAATCAACAGCAGATGATCAGCTCACTTGCCTGGCTGTCCCGCCTCGGCATGTATGTCATGTGTCAGGGAAGCCATGTGGGTTGCTAGAGCATCAGAGGTTCCATGAGTTATCTGTGGGACAAATGAGGGAGATTTCACATGAAGCTGAAGGAATGAAAGATCTCTAACTTATAGGAGAAAAAACATCTAGAGAGGAATTGTGGGCATTGCAGAGTATCCTAACATGATCAAGGTGCTGACATTGACAGAGAGGGTCAGCTTGCTATTTCTGATCTCAATCTCAGCATGTGTACCACCTGGATGACTGAGGCTCTGGGAGGCAGGATTTAACCTACCACAGGAGAACACTCTAAGCCTGCTACTTGGTGAGGTTTGCTACCTGGAAAGGTAGTGAGGTCACAGTCATGTTGTAGAAGAGATTCACGCATAGGTTGGTTGACTGGTTTAGGCTCTGGAAGTCTCTTATACCCAAGTTTCTTTGATTGTGTGATCCAGAACTGTAATTCTCACCTTTTCTCTGTACCAACACGGTATCAGATGATATTTGAATAGGTGGCAAATTTAATAGGTGAGCCTGGACTTGTAAACAGTGTAGGTCAAACTCCACTTCCTGCTTCAAACATACATGTACCTGAAAGAAGTTATTCCCTATTTCATAAGCTGTTCATGGCATACCTGACAACACATTTTGGTCCCTGGTTCAGAACTGCTGGTTCAGAACATCACTTTTATCATTCTGCCAAGTTTTTTTTTTTTTAATCATTTTAAGTGTACAATTCTGTGATATTAAGGGCATTCAGGTTGTGTCCATCATCCATCTCCAGAAGTCTTTCATCTGTATCCATTAAATACTATCTTCCGTTCCCCTTTCCCCCAGCCACTGTTCTACTTTGTCTCATGACAAAATATTTCATATAAGGTATCTCATGCAAGCATATTCCTGCAGTATTTCACTTTTGTGACTGGCTGATTTCACTTAGCATAATGTCTGCAAGGGCTCTCCATACTATAGCATGGGTCCTTTTTAAGAGTGACTAATCTCCCATTGCACGCCACATTTTATTTATTCATTTATTCATCAATGGACTCTAGGTTGCTTCCACCTTTTGGCTGCCGTGAATAATGCTACAATAAACATGGATATACAAATACTTGTCAGACTTCCTGATTTCCTTTGGCTGTTTACCCAGAAGTGGAATTAATTGCTGGATCCTCTGGCAATTCTACTTGTTGTTCTTCAGTCACCACAGTACGGTTTTTCCCTAGCAGGGGCACCTTTTACAGTCTCACCAGCAGTGCACAAGGGTTTCAGTTTCTGCACATCCTCATCAACACTGGTTATTTTCTCTCTCTGGGGGTATTAGCTATGCAGATGGGTGTCAGCTGGTATCCTTTGTGGTTTTGATTTGCATATCCCTAATGATTTGTGATGTTGAGCACCATTTCATATGCTTATTGTCTAGTTTGTGTATCTTCTTTGAGAAATGCTTATTCAAGTTCTTTACCATTAAAAAATTATATTGTTGTTGTTATTGACTTTTTGGAGTTCTCTATATGTTCTGGATATCCAGCTCTTGTCAGATACATGATTTGCAAATATTCTCTCAAATTTTATGGATTACCTTTCACTCTGTTGATAGTGTCCCTTGATGTGCAAAGCATTTTAATTTGGAGAAGTGAAATGAATGTACTTTTCCTTTCATTGCTTGTGCTTTTGGTGTCAGAGCTAAGAAATCATTTTCAAGTCCGATGCTATGAAGCTTTTCACTTTTGTTTTCTTTTAAGAGTTTCTTAGTTTTAACTTTTACATTTAGATCTTTGATCCTTTATGTGTTAATTTTTATATAAAATCAAGGGTGTGATTTTTTTTTTTTTTTGGTGTGTGTATCCAGTTTTTCCAACCTCATTTGTTGAAAAGATTGTCTTTCTGCCATTGAATGGTCTTGACATCTTGTCAAAAATTATTTTGATTATATCAACAAGGATATCTCCCTGAGCTCTCCATTCTCTTTCATTGGTCTATGTGTCTGTTTTTATGCTAGCACCTCATTGTTGTTTTCTTTTTCTTAGGCACCAAGGGGTGCCTAACCACTGAGCAACATCCCAAGCCCTTTTTTGTACTTTTTTAAATTTAGAGACAGGGACTCACTGAGTTGCTTAGGGCCTTGCTAAATTGCTGAGGCTGGCATTGAATTCAGAATCCTCCTGCCTCAGCCTCCTGAGCTGCTGGGATTACAGGCATGTACCACTGTGCCGGCTGTTGTTGTTTTCTTTTTTTGTGGGAATGTCTCACTGTATTTCTGGGGCTGTCCTCCTGCCTCAGCCTCCTGAATGTTAGGGATGCCAGGCCTGTGCCACCACACCAGGCCTTACATTATTTTAGTTATTATAGCTTTGTAATGACTTTTGAAAATCAGTAAGTGTGAAACTTCCAACTTTGTTCTTAGTTTTCAAAATTATTTTGGTATTTTAGGATCTCTTGAGATTCCATATGAATTTGAGGGCACATTTTTCTATTTCTATAAAAATAATAATTATTGAGTTGGGTGTGGCAGTACACACCTGTGGTCAGGAGGCTGAGGCAGGAAGATTACAAGTTCAAAGCCAGCCTCAGCAAAAGTGAGGAACTAAGCAACTCAGTGAGATCCTGTCTCTAAATAATATACAAAATAGAACTGGAGATGTGGCTTAATGGTCGAGGCCCCCCTGAGTTCAAACCCCAGTACCTTCCCACCCCCATATATATATATATATATATATATAAATTTGTATTGAATCTGTAGATTGCTTTGGGAGGTATGACATCTTAAAAATATTAAATCTTTTAACAATGAATATGGGATGTGTTTTCATTTATTTGTGTCTTTAATATCGTTTTAGCAATAGTTTTTAGTTTGCAGGTTAAATCTTTAATTTTCTTGGTTAAGTTTGTTCTTAAGCACTTTACCCGTTTTTTTTTTTTAATTTTGTCTATTTTTTTCTTAATTTCCTTTGTGATTTTTCGCTTTTAAGTATATGGAAATACACCTGGTTTTTGCTTGTTGATTTTGTTTCATGCAATGTTGCTGAATTTATTATTTATGGCATTTTTGAAAATGGGATATTCAGGGTTTTTCCACATATAATCTGGTTAGATGCTTTTGAGAAATGATTGCTGGTGAGGTTTGAATGAATCAGCCGCTGGGGTCTCTGTGATGCTTGATGGACAAAGACCAGGGGCGGAACAGCTTTTTATTTCCAGTACCCCATCCTAATGAGGCATATATAATCTTGGAGACCTTCTGTGCACTTAGCATGGGTTATAGAAGTGTGTGTCTTAATCCTTCCTTAAGAAAGTCCTAATCCCTCCTTAAGACAGCTTATGATATTCCCGATAAGACCAGGCTTACACATATGACCAAGGCAGAATACATCAGGTACTAAGTCTGAGGGATTTCAAGTGAGCTGGGGAGGAGGTTGTGAGCTTCTTGGAGAGTCAGGTGAGGAGGATGTTGGAGGACAGGGGCTTCCAGCAGAGCTGGAAGATCTGTTCTCTCAAACTGCTGACCCAAATTTTTAGATTAATTTCTTTGCTAGTTGAAGACATTTTAAAATCTTCCATTTCTAAAATGAGCCTTGTTTGTAGGAGAAACTGTGGTCTGACATGATTTTTAAAATTGTCTGGACTCACTTCAAAGACGTGGAGTGGGTTAGGCATGATTTGCTGTGCTTTTAAGAGCAGGGTTTGCTACCTATGTTCATGAGTTCTTTGGAGAGCAGTAAACTATTTTCCTTTTCAGACATGAATGAACACAGCTCTAGAAGTCACAGTATCTTCCTGATTAATATTAAACAAGAGAATGTAGAGACTGAAAAAAAACTCAGTGGGAAGCTTTATTTGGTTGATTTGGCTGGGAGCGAAAAGGTAATTGCTTCTTTATTTGTATTATCTGTAATTCTCCGTCATTTGCTTTAGTGTGCAATGGTATAATTTCTGTGCCTCTGTATCCCCTGGTTTTAAAGAGCTTTTAAAGTTTCCAGTGTTGCGCCAAGGTGTTATTAAATTCAACCTTTGTTTTCCTGCTCTTTCCTTTCTGTTCCTGAAGTCTCCTGTTTGTATCACAGACAGGTACATCGAATGCTCTCTGATTTGTGCCTGTTAGGCCCTGATGACGACACTGGCAAGTGTTGGTCTGAACTTAGCCTGGCAAAAAGGTGGCTGCACAGATGTGGGAGGGACTGGAATGCCTGAGGACAGGAAAGATCCCCAGGAGGAGCCAGACTCAAACAGGCTGGGAAAGGGCTTTGCGGTCCGAGGGTGGAGCCCTGCCTCTGCATGTTTCCTTTGCTGATAGGAGATCTAGACCCTATACCTGTCCCTGTGTCCCCTGGTTCTCCTGGCAGTGGTCTGGACTGAGTACTGACATGGGTGGCTTTGGCTCCTTCAGGTTATGAGGCTGTTGTCAGTCTTAGCCACGAGCTCTGACTATACTCTGCTTTTGTACGGATCCTGTCTTGCCCTCTGTTCCCTGATCTTAAGCCTCCCGAGGCTACTCTCCAGCTTCTGAAACCTGAATCTAGCCAGAATCTCTAGCCTGTGAGCTTCCCAGACCCCCGTGGGCAGCGTCACAGAGCCAGTCCAAGTGCACAATGCCTTTCCCCCATCATCAGTGACATCAGCTGGAGGTCCACATCAGGACAAGTCTGGAGGCGTGGTCACTCTCCCTAATTGGACAGTTGACCCCCACTTGCTGCATACACCACAGAGTTCCTGTATTCTCAGTAATGGTAACTAACAGCCATGTAAGTCATGGGTGCTTCGGTTACCCTTTCATTTGCATTTATAAAACAGTGTGCATAAAATCATCTAGAAGTTCCTGGTTGGAATCTGAAAATTTACTGGTGTGGGCTGGTAATTTGGTCAAGCAGATATTCACCACCATGGAGTAAGGGTGCAGTTCTAGACTGACCATGACATTACTGCCATGCCAGCTATGAGTCCAGACAAAGAGCTGAGTGGCCCCTTCACTCTCACTGAGTGCAGAGATGAGTGTTTAGGGTCTAAATAAGCCTGAAAACTGCCTACTAGTAGCTGGCAGATCTGAGTGGAGGCCGGTCTCTGCACAGTGTTGGTGCTTATTGCTAATGATATTCATGAGATGTTTTAAAGTGTCCTTCGTATATTTTCTTTTGTTCACATCCATTTCTCTTTGCCCTAAATGTGTCCACATGACTGGTGGTGTGAACTTGTAGAACAGAACTCTGCATTTTAGCTCTCATCTCCTCTAAATGGCTTTCTTCCTGAGGCTGGCAGTTTAGCATCTCTGGAGCTCAGTTTCCTTGTCTGTAAAGGAAGGTGATAAATAGTACCTGTTTTGTGTATTTTATGGAGTTAAGATACTCAAATACAAAAACACCTTAAAATCCATAATGTGAGTAGGCTGTTATCATTTGTGACCCATCAGGTACACAGTTGATCTGTCTGTAAGCAGAGGTGTCCATACCCACAATTCCAAGACAGATGAGAATCTGTCCTATTTGAATGAATATGTATTCACCTGTATCTTAGGGGCTTCTCCTTTATTGTAATTGACATCCATCTTTGTGCAGTTTAAAATTATTTCTCTTCTTTCCTTTAGAGAGCAGCTGCTCACCCTGCACCGTTTGTGCAGGCAACAGAGACATGAATCATGTCGAGTCCTCTTTTTTTGCAGCCTCTATAAACGGCTCTCTACCCAGAGCAAATGCTGTAAATATGAAATTACCAGCAATAACACAGCAGAGGAGGCACTGTGCATGGGGCTTCTGGCTGCAGAGGGGGGAAAAAAAAAGACAAATTTACAATGTAATGCACCCCTTCTTGACTTTTTATGCCTCTCTGATGGGCATTGCTCTTTGAATATTGTTTATTTTCCTTTCCTTCTTCTTTTTCTTTGCTATGGAAGTAATCTGGGAAGGAACAGAGTTGGGACAACCTTCTCCACTACCTGTTGGTCCTTTACCTGAATTGATGGCTTATAATTTACATTTCCCCCACTGTCCCTTTTGCTGTGGCTTTAGATGGCATTTTCTCTCAGTGCTTCCCTATGGACATCCTCTGGTATGGAGGCTATGGTTTGGTCTCCCAGGGCCTGAGCTTACCCTGGTGACAACACTTCTGGAGCCTGATTTCCCTGGATGGATATCCCCGGGGGAAGCATCTGCAGCTCTCCCACTTGAGGCATTTCAGCCATTCCACTAAAACCTAATCGAGAGGAAAATGACAGCAGGAGAGACCAAATCCCCAGCCTCATGCCTCAGGGATGGTTTTATCAATGTGGTTCTTACTTACTTCTGTTTTTCCTTTCTTTCCAGGAGGGCCTTCCCCTTTGCCCTTGTGTGTGGACTTAAGATCTCCATTTTGTGTTTTGGCGTCCTGTGCAGCTCACTGCTTTTCCTTCTCTCTGGTAGGTCAGCAAAACTGGTGCAGAGGGAGCTGTACTCGATGAAGCTAAAAACATCAATAAGTCTTTGTCCGCCCTTGGAAATGTGATCTCTGCCTTGGCAGAAGGGACAGTAAGTGATCCTGCTCCATCTATTAAATACTATTACCAGAAGTCGCCTTTGGGTTTCCTTGTTCTCTTTGCCACACACCCCAGAGAGTCATTTGTTTTCCTGTTTGGAAAAGAGAGAGGGAATCCTGGCTGTGGACGCCTGTGGCTGGGAGATCCAGTCCATTAAAAAGTGTGAATGGTGATGCTGATTTCCTATGGGCATTCTAAACTTTTGCAAGATCCAGGGACCTGGCCACAAATTCTTAGAAACACATGTTTCTAAGTTCAGCGTCTACATACCCAGCTTGCTTGCTTGCTTCTGTGTTTTTTCCTTTCAAAGAGCTGTCAAAACCAATACTAATTATTTCCCAAACAGAAAACACACGTGCCATACCGGGACAGCAAGATGACTCGGATCCTCCAGGACTCTCTGGGTGGGAACTGTAGAACTACCATCGTCATTTGCTGTTCTCCCTCTGTCTTCAATGAGGCTGAGACCAAGTCCACGCTGATGTTTGGACAGAGGTGCGTGTGGTCTCTGGGGACCCGTGCTCTGAGCTGGCTCTGAAGTCTTAGCCTTGAGTGGCGCGGGACTCACGTTGGAGAGTAACAACGTGAGGGCAAGGGGTTACTGAACTACATCTAGCAGGTGATCTGTAAACTTGAGACACAATTTATTGAGGCCAAAGGGATGATTATGTTTTTAAGGAATGGGTAGAAATATACCAGTCAGAAGTATGATGTCTAAAAAAACAAAACACCCAAATTAATTGTAGATGCAAATTTGTAATAGAGCCGAGTATCATTTTTGTTCTTGGTGGAATTGAAGTCTAACTGAGGTTCATATGATTTCAAGTATATAAACCTCAGGATTGATAACCTCTTTAACTCTCATATTTAGGATCCATTGCAAAGGTCCTAATAACAATAAATCAATCAGAAACATAAATGAATATAGAGCAGTGGCATAAATAGACAAGGGAAGGAAAGGAATCCACACTTACCTGATAGTAGGTGGGACAGAGTTTATGCTAAGGAAGAGGCTAGCAGCAACCATCTTCTCACCTTCAAAATGTCCTCAGTCTCTGCAGAGTGTTGGTGAGTCTAGCATTCACTTTCATGTGTGTGGCTGGATTCTTTTCTTCCTATCCTTACTAGCCATTTTCTTTTCCCTCACCTCCTCCTCTGGACCAAGGCTGACCTCCTTCAGTCCTGTTTCCCCAGTTTTGGTGTCCAGCCCTCATCCTCTCAGTTGGGTTCCTTGGGATTAGCCCCCTGAGTGCTAGGGGCCCTGCTGATTTGGATGATCTGAGCATCTTTCGTGCCCAGTGGGCTGAGCCTGAGGGTGGAAGGTGTGGATTCTATTATCCTGTGATCTTTAGACAACTTAATGTTTCTCTGTGGGACTTGGCTGCCTCCTTCATAAACAGATGTCCCTGGTGCCCCTGCCTTCCTGCTGGGGGAATGTGTTATGTGGTTACGCCTGAGAAATGGTTTCGGATGCTAGAAAAAAGATGGAGGGGGTGGGCATTCTGTAGGGGAGATTGTTATGACTGTTTAAACTGCATTAAGCCCCAGTCATTTCCTGAGCCCTCAACAGAACATAGAATTACACAGTTGTGGCACCTGTGGGATGTCTAAATAAATAATAATTAATGTTGAAATGTTGTAGAACTAATATATCTTTTAAACTGGATTTGGGTTCTTTACTTCCTCCCAAAGGACTTCCTTGATTAGACAAATGCTCAGGTCAGTGGGATTGTGGTAGGATAACACCTACTTTGCTAAAAGGTCTCTGGATACCTATAAATCAGCTTCTGCTTATGAGAAGCACAGAGTGCATCCTGCTCCTACCCCCCCCCCCCTTTACCACCTGGTGTCTTGGACTTGAGTTTAACAGTTTCCTCTAAAGATATGTTTGAGCAAACCAGCTCCAAATGCATTTATGAAGGGATTATTTCTTTTAAAAATGTTTCACATGTAAAGCAAAACTATTCTGGATCTTTGTAAGCCAGGTCCCCCTGGGGTCTTGGGCTCTGTAACTGAAAGCTGTTGCTGTTAGTGGGTATTTGCTTCTGTATATAGGAAGCATATTAAGTATCATTTCAAGTGATTATTGTCTTTCTTCTGATATTAGGCTATCAGTAGTATCATAATATTAACACATTTTTTTTTAGTGCCAATATATATGTTAGACATGTCAAAATCCTACTAGCATTTTGGTAGATATTATCTCACCTTTGTACAGAGGTTGAAATTGAGGCTTTCAAAGCCATTAGCTACCTTACCTGAGACCACCCACTCAGTAAATGACTAAACATGTAGCATGTCCTAGGATGCAGACTACAGTATTTGATCCACAGCTTCTCACATGTAGGTGGCTTGATCAGGAAACTTTGTATGAGTAAATTTTCCATTGTTTATAACAAATTATTTGAGGCTGGGTACTTTATAAAGAAAATAAGTTTATTTAAGCTACTAGTTTTAGAGGTTCAAGGACCTGGTGCTGACATCAGCTTGACTCTTGTGAGGCTGTCATGACTGATGGCACTACACTGGCAATAGTCTATGTGATAAGACAGAGAGCCAGAGAGGCTGGAGAGGGGTCAGGCTTGCTTTTTAATAATGACCTTCTCATGAGAACTAACAAGGGTTTCATGGGAACTACCTCATTTCCTTTTGAGGGTAGCAATGTCAATAACCCATGACCTTGTACCAGGTTTCATTTCTTAAGGGTTTCACCATCTCTCATCCTGCTCTGAGAACCAAACTTCAACACATGAATCCTTAGGGGGCATGCTGAAACCATATCTGCACCATGGCATCCTGGATGAGCACACCACAGTGGCTGAGCACAGCCCTCTGGTTTAGTGAACCCAGTTTTGAAGCTAAGTGCTGTCCTTGACCGTTCTCTCATTTCCTTCTCTCTGAGCCTCGGGTCTTCTCACCTGTAGAAGGGGGCATAATAATGCCTCCTTCAGAGCATGTTTGAGAGGATCATATGAGTTTCTCCAATTTCCACCCTGCTCAGTACTGGCAAGTTGTAAGCAGTTTGACATTATTGAGGCTTGGGAAGGTCATGGCAATGGGTAAGACTAGTGTAAGGGACAGCATGGTGATAGAAGAGACAGGAGAACTAAAATTACATTTCTGGAATAAATGAGGAAAAATAAAAATTGTCGTTATAATTTAGCATTCCAGGAAATAAAAAGTCATGCCAGCTATTTTGCAGATGAAATAGGCTGGTCTAATTCTTTATCAATCCTCTAGTTTCTGAGCTGTGTGGCAGCAGGAATGACTTTGTCAGTGGCATCCATTTTCCAAACACCTTTAACATGACAAGAGGATGTCCTGTAAATAACGCTCATCAAATGAATGAACAGCGGAACCCAAAGCTTATCACAGTGCCCTGTACCCAGGAGTTGGGTTGGTTTGGATCTGGTTTACCTTCCATTCTTTAATTAGGAACGTTGGAGATGTTTTTTTTTTCCCTTCCCTCTATTCCCAAGTTAGTTAATTGATTCTTTAAGGACACTGAACTCCTCCATGGGCCTATATCTGCTTTATGGTTAAAGACACTCATTGAACCCAATTATACAGCAGACATGAGTCTGAACATCGGATTAGACATGGTATCTGATAGCTAATGAGATTAAGCACTTTGAACTCAGAAAGGCTGCCAGGCACATCCCAAATTCAGTGTAACAAGGGTTCATTATTTCTGTGGCAAGAGTGGCCAAACCTTAGGACAGTGTAAGTTTCTTCAGTTATTCCTAGGTGGTTCTTTCAAGGATGTGAGGAAAATGTGCTCCCCCACCCCCATTCCCCGCAAAGCTGTACTAGTTGATGCTCTGAATAAAACCATAGTGTGTGCTTTGAAGCAGTAAAACGAGTTGGAGCTGCAGGGCACCCTATCCTACCCTGCTAGCCTATCCTTGGGAAGTCCTCTAGATTAGGTGCTGGGACATAAAGGGAAAGATTCACCATCTCTGTGTGTGGTGTCACTGATGACTTCTGGCTCTTATGTTTGGCCCTTTGGTCCCCCTGAGTGCCCAGCACTGTGCTGGTGAAGAGGCAGAAGCTGCCTTCTGTAGCTCAGAGAACTTTAAGCCAGTTGAGGAGGCAGCAATTTTAATTCCCAGGCAGCTGAGAGTCAAAAAGACAAGCTCAAATTAGAACAATTTCATTGATTTTTCTTTTCTATCTGGCCCCCAGCCTTTTATTCTTCAGTCTTTAATTACTCTTCTAAAGGAATTTTACAGCACTATTTGAAAAAGATATTTATAAGTTTTTGAAATGGGAACTCAAATCACCCAATTCTCTGGGAAGGCTATTTAATGTTCCCTGGTTTGGGGTGGTGTTGAAGGGAGGGGAGCCCTGAGGGGCAGGCCAAGAAAGGTCTGAGTCAGCAGGTCTTGGACACCTAGAGTTCGGATTGATCCAGAATGAATAATTCAAAGGCTTTATTTGTATGTTGATTGTGGAAGAATCGATAACTTAGAAAAATTAATAGTCTTCTTTTCCTATTGTGCACAGTTTAAAAAAATATCATGCCATTATTTTAATTGTGCCACCTGCCATTTCAGTGGCAGCTGGATTAGGCAGAGCTTGAATAGAGTGCGTGCAGAATTCATGTTGTAAGAGCATGAGAACAAGTTACCTGCAGAGGTGGAGTGAGCACTTTGGCCAAGGCACATACTTGGCTACACTTTTGACATAAAACTAAAAAAGGCTTAAATCCTCCCTGCTGGAGGATCTGCTGCTGACATGCCAACAGGGTTAATTTTTGCTCTGGGGCGTGGGGTGTGGGGCATGGATGTGGGGCATGGGGTGGGGGGAGCCGGGGTGGGGAACTGGATGCCAATGAGATGCAATTCCTCATCCATGTCATTGAAATTTTCATTTCTCCTTCCTGACCCTCTTCCCTCACAAGCAGGGAAATGGCTCCCCATGATCTGGGAAGGTGCTTTGGAGCAGTGGTTTTCCTGAAGGTTTAGGGTTTTCATCGGGGAATGGGACTCAGCATAGATTAGAAGTTTTGATGTTATTTTTATGTGACAGCTTGGCTAAGCTATATAGTGCCCAGTTTAATCAAACAATAGTCTGGCTGTTGCTGCAAAAGCTATTTTGTATTTGGTGGTTAATGTGTAAAATTAGTGAATGTCTACAATGCGTAAAGTACATTGCCCTGGATAATGAGGGTGGCCCTCATCCAATCAGTTGAAGACCTTAAAAGCAAGAATCCAGGTTTCCCAGAGAAGATATTCTGCCTCAGGACTGTAACACAACTCCTGTCTGGGTGTCCAGCTTGCTGGCTGCCTGATGGCTTTCAGACTTGCTGTACTCTACAATCATGTAGACCAAATAATTGGGTGATTTGCGTTCCCAGTTTTTCTTGGCCTTGTCTTGTTCGTTTTTTCCTCCCTTCCTCCCTCCCTCCCTCCCTTCCTTTCTTCCCTCTTTCTTTCTTTTTTGTAACTAGGGATTGAACCCAGGGTACTTTACCACTGCAGTACATGCCCAGC